TTAACCTATAAAGTAGCGGAACTTACAATGAAAGGTCATGAAATGATACACCCCTAATAATATGTTGGTCAATAATTTCAGTGTTCAACTGACCTATACTAATTACTACGGATGGTGTGATCTTCCGACCCTTTTTTTACTTAAATTTTTTCTCAACATTTCTGTGTTGTCTGTGTGATGTCTTATGTGATGTCCTCAAACAATAGAAATGTGGTAATGGTGGTGATGGAGGAGGGAAAACAATTGAAATGTGGTGGCGGTGGTGATGGCGATGACGAGATCAAACAAATAGAAATGTGGTAGTAGAGTGAAAACAGAAAAGGTTGTTGCAGAACACGGAAAACAATAGAAATGCGTTGGTGGTGGTTTCGAAGAGAAAATAATAGAAATAAAATCCCGCTAATCCCAATCCCCGATTTTCATCCACAGTTCAGTTATTCCCTTCACCACGACCGCTACTGCCACATTTCCATGGTTTCGTCTCTTCTACCACCACGACACCCACCAATGCATTTTTATTGTTTTCAGCACCACCAACACCATATTTCTCTTCTTTTCCCTCCACCACCACCATCACCACATTGCTAATGTTTTCCCATCACCATCACATTTCTATTGTTTTCTTTTCTATTGTTTCACGAGCCACTTTATGACGTCATATTATAGCGGAGCTCTCGCGCGCGCAGCGGAGCACCACGGGTAAGAAAATATGGTAAATATATATGGTATTTTGAAAGTTATCCGCTGACCAGTTGTTTGTTTGTAATTGATCACGGGCGCCAGTCAATTTTGTTAAAGGTAGTATTCAGTTTACTCTCTGCTTACAGCCAAAGTATAATTAATAGAGAAAGACATTCCCTAAAGCATCCTTTGCGAGCTTCGCTTTCGGCCTTCGCTAAATCTATTTTGTAAAATCCAACTGGTGGTCTATTATCAATGCTGCGTTCTGATTGGTTGAACTCCTACTTGGCTATATGTTATAGCCCACTAGTAGCGATATTTTTAACCAACTAGTTGGATTTTACTAAAACAATTATTCGTCTCGCCCTCATAGCCTCTCCTCTGAGTCAACAGCCCATAAGGCCGACTCAGGGCCCTAATAATTGTTAAATGTTATACAAGTTCATTCATTGATGATACAATCATGCCTAAACTTGCCTGTATGATGTAATATTGTCTTTAAAAACAATGCAAAAATGATGTTGGTGCTGGTGGGGACGTGACAACAATGGAAATGTGGTGGTGGTGGCGTGAACACCATGGAAATGGTGTGTCGGAGGCGTGAAAACAATATAAATGTGTTGTTGGTGTTGGAAGAAAACAATTAAAATGTGACGTTTGTGGTGGTGGTGGTAGCGTGAAAACAATAGAAATGTGGTGTCCGTGGTGGTTGTGGCGTTACAACAATTAACACGGAATCCACCAGGAAATTGATTATTTTTAATTTTCAGGGGACAAAAACCTTATACCAGAATAATTTAAAGAATATTGCATTCTTTTTTACATTTTTCAAGGGCTAAAGATGTAATTAGTCATCTGTAATAACACCAAAGAAAATTCTTTTAATGGGAGCCAGAGAAAATAAATGTCAAATTTCCCAAAATGACATCTTACACATGAAGTTTTCAAAATATTATTTTACCTGTATTTTCACAATTCTTGTGAAATTTGACAACCCCAGGGCCCCCCACTTTTTGAAAAAAAATTAAATTAAGAAATACACATTTTCTAGTAAAAGGAATCTTTCAGCTCTAACTGTATTAAAAAATATTGAGTAGGCACCAGGTAAACCATTTTCAACAACAACTTTATTGACTTTATCTTTGACATGAAGATTTTAGTACCAAAACAATGATAAATGAAAAAAGTAAAATAAATGTTAAGTAAGAAAGAACGGAGCAATTGAATATTATCATAAAAGAAAAATTACTTGGCTATGTACGGCTTCTACGCTAGTTCGGATGCATAACAATTTTGAATATTTTCAATATCAGAGGCACCGAGATTTATGATGTTTTCATCGCACATGAAATGATATATAAAAATAGTGCCTTGCGAGACATATTCGTAAAATTACTGTTTATCGAGTATAGGCTCTCCAAGAAGAAACGTCCACAACCCCCACCCCCCCCCCCCCCCCCCCCCCCCCGCCCACACTACACTTCAAAAGGGGTGGATCGGCCCCCGCACTTTGAAAACTGCTCCGCGGGCCCTGATACGTCGAACTTAGGACCAAACCAACAGAATCATATCAAAATACAATTTAATATTTTTTTTCCCGAAAGAGGTTAAATATACATTATCATAAAATTTTTTAATTTATTAGTTTAGTTCGTCGCATGTGAAGATCGACGTTTGTCCCGGAGACGATCCTCAGACTTGCTATCCGTAGAACGTACAACGTGTTAGACAATCCAAACTCATTCAGACGAGCTTGGCTGAGCCAGACATCGTCCTTTTCATCACTAAGTTTGGTTTGTCTCGTGAAAAGTTCGACGTTTGGCCTTGGCGTAACTGAGCCAGACGTCGAACTTTTCAAAAACTCGACTCACTAAGTCTGGTTCGTCTCATCATAGTTAATTAAAGTGGAATGGTTGGGAAACCTAGGTTTTTGTTAGTTTTTTGGGACCTGACCGTGCACAACGTTCAATAGCATTCCTATCATTTTGAAGTTATTGACCAATACAAACATTTCATTAACTAATTCAGTCATAATTCCTGAACAGAAAACAAAGGATTGTGCACGGTCAGGGAGCTTCCAACATAAACTACAGCACCACTTTTTTCAACTTTGATGTTTGCCGAGTTTCCTTACCAGTCTCCTCTACTATGGTCTCATGAAAAAAAGGTTGCTCAGCGGAGACAAACTGCTCATAAATTTTACACATAAAGTAATCTAATCGAATTTAACACTCGGCATCGGATGGCATATCATGTCAACATGAACAATACTCAAGCTTGGCATAAATACCTGTTCGCACTGTCACAAGAGTGGCACAGAAGCCCATTCGAAACATGACGATCCACTTTAAGATCGGCGCAAAGCAGCACCCTCCTGCTACAGACACCGCTCAAAAATAGTGTTGTTATGTGTAAACAGTTGCCCTAATTGCGATATGATTTTTATGCCGCGCAAGGGATATCTAGTATAGTGTAGACATAGTATAAATGTACCGTCGGTTTCCTTGACGGTTGACGTCGGGAACATCTCTCAGCCATGCCCAATATTGCCCAATGAGCCAACACCCAAAAGATGTACGTAAATACTAAGTATAATCGTTTAACGGTGCAAGCTGTAATTCTTGCTACGTTACTATTCTTGCTAATCGTTTGCTAACAGACAAAATTGTCGATGGATACTCCCTACAAGGTCTTCGTCAACAGCTGAAACATCTTGAGAGTCCAAAAGATAGCGACAACATAAGACCAGCACAGAAATTCTCATAAACAATACAAATTTTTTAAATTTTTGCAAACGTGTTTCGAAGGACTTTATCTTCATCTTCAGTGTAACTGTTAATAACAATTTGGCTAAAATTTGTGCATCATTAAAGAGTGGGTCATATCATGCAAATCCTGTGTTCTTATTTGCTACTCGAGCAGGCAAGATGGGTCTATCTAGATTCCCCGCATTGGTCACGCAAGGAAAGGTTCTCTTTTTGGCCACAAAACATACCCTTTATTGACCAAGCTTGTTCCGTCAAGATGCCTGGATATTGTCCTCTTTTTGTGTGTTTTTATAGACTTCGCCTTCGTCATGGTCCATAAAAACGCAAAAAATAACCTAGCTAACATAAGCCAGCCGAACAAGCTCGGTCAATAACACGAGTGTATAAGTAACAAAACTGCGTTTTGCAAGCAACGTTCGGGTTATAAAACAGTCACAGAGGCAAAAATTATGTAAAAGATGATTGGACAGAAAATGCTGAGTAATGATTACAAAAAAACAAAGGGAATATTACAAATTAAAGAAGCAGCATATAACCCCTTATATGCTTCTGATTAAAGTGTTTAACACGCATAGACTACTTTAGTTTAACCTACCAAAAACGTGTGAAGGTTTATCAGACGCAAGGAACTCGGGTGTGTGAAAATGTCGCCTCGTCTCACCAACGTAGCAAGAATTACAGTTTGCACCGTTAAACTTGTTAAAGTACGGAAAAACGGGTAACAAAAAACGTGCAACTTGTTTTGCAACATTGCTGCAAAACGAGTTGAAAAGCGATGTTGCGCGTTTTACCACCCAGGTTCAAACCTGTTAACAACCTGATTTGTTGCAAGACAGGTTTTACGTGGGTGGTATAACGTGCAACATCGTTATTCAACTTGTTTTGCAGAAATGTTGCAAAACAAGTTGCACGTTTTTTGTTGCGCCGTTTTCCGTACCTTGAGCTACGCACGTGCGGAGCCCCTACGGGAAAGGGTCTTTCACGTTGAAGAAATTCCTTATATTGAAAACAAGTTTGATGTTAGAGAGTTTAAGAGCTTCACGTATACGGCAAAGGTCAAGAATTTCTCAAAACAGAAAATGAGCACAAAAAACCAGCTCATAACAATTCTCATGGCTAAGAAATTGCGTGAAACTACTAATTTAGATGTAGAAATAATGAACAGTAAACGACAAGTAAAGGGGAAACTTGGTCACGTGGTACAAATTCGCGTTTGCCGTTTAACGTAAACGTGATACTTAAACTCTCTGTTGACGAGCCTGCAAAAACGGCAGGAGTGTCAACGAAAATTCAATTGCTTTACATAATTACAATTCAATTGTTTTTGTCATTGTACGCGCATTTAGTTCTCACGATGAATCGTATTTAAGGTTAAAAAGAATGTCAAAGTATCTGTTTGGGGAAAGCAATAGACCCAAAAGTCCTCCTAAGCTTCGTGTTCTTTCTTAGCTGGTCTCTTTACACGTCATTAGTGGCCATCCATCGAAAGAGGCAACACAAACCTTCCTTAAAGTTGGACAATCCTTGAACCATTTTTACATTGCCGACCTCTTAAGACGCGCCTTCCCTTGAACAGGATTTTGCAAACAAATCTAATGATCTGTTCACCCAGTTCCAACCATTTGGTACTTTGTCGACAGGAAAAATGCGATGCCAGTAAACAGTGACGGTGTGGGATTCAGGATCAAAGTTTGCCAAAATACTAGCTGCCTTGATGTCCATCATGCTTTCTTTAATGGGAACTCCATGAATCATTACAAAACTGTACAAATCTGCAGATTTCAGCACAGTATGAAGGTTGCGCAGTGGACAAGTTAATATACAGATACGCCCGCGAGATTCTGCTGGAGCATGCACAATGAGTAGAGCAGTAATAACACACAAACAGTTGCCTGTTTTACGTTGACAATCTGCTTTTATTGGTGATCTGGACAGTAGCCGCAACGGTTGGCATGTCTTATTTGCTTCACGAATAGAGTTACAGACAAAAGAATGAACACCTCTGGCTGTGTCAGAGCACTGCTTGCTACAGTACCTTGCAACAAGGCAACTGGAACATTCGATAAAATCACCAACCGACTGTAGATCTTTCCAGCACCCAGAGCATCTTTCACGCGGTTTCCAAGGGAGAACACCATGAACATCCGAAAATCTGTTTTCCACAAGCAAGGGGCTTTTGAATTCATCGGCGTATTCAAACATGTCAGTTTTGACTAGTTCGAGGAAATTTCGTAAGTAAAACATAAAGGGAGATTCCTGGGGACTTGTGAACATCTCTTTACATTGCAACTCACATGGGCAAATTTCTCTTGCATTAGAGGGAAAAACAACCGGACCAAGATTATTCCTGAAGTCACATTTCTCAACCAAAACATTTCCTTGGCCATTTAAAATGATACGAAGTCCTCCACAATAGTTGTTTTCAAACGATGTTTGTTTGCAGGTTAAGTTGCTTCCGAGACAACACACTATTCCCCAACCAAAATTTTCGGAAATAACGTTTTCTTCTATTATCGCGTTTGCTCGTTGTAACACAATGGCACGAGGTGAAACTTCCACTAAATTTCTCAACAATCCTCCATTACAACCTCCGGCGGCCACAATACCACCAACCAAGTTATGAGAAATCCAATTATTTTCCATGTAAAAACGTGCTGGGGTAATCATTAAAATACCCTGTAAATTGTTGTCTAGTTGACTGTCACAAATACTTATGTGGGAATCAGCTCTTCCTCCTCGAATACCGATTCCAGGCCCACGACTCATTTGAATTTTAGTAGACCTCACTGAAACAATTACTTGCTGACGGTGATGTGCCTCCACCAATAACCCTGCACCATTTGAAAAACGGACAGAACAGTGATCCATGACCAATGATTTAACGTCATTAGCCTTTATCAGAGCATAAAGTTCGCGTTCACTGTCGGCGGTCACTTCCTTCTTAATCAGGTGTGATTTTCCTAACGTTATTGAAAGTAGCTTTTCTCTCTCTGCAGTACTACCGGCCGCTTCAGACGACAACGGTTGATCGCGGTTTGCTGATGGCAAAGAATTCTCAAAATGAACATTTTCAAATAGAAAAGACGCCCCTGACAAAAACAAACCTTCGCTGAAACTAAGCACAGCGGAACTTCCAGGAAGACAGACAAAATAATAACATCCGTCCGATAAAACAATCTTATTCAAATCGAATTTCCCTTCGGATAGGATGACTGTAAATGAACCATTTGAATCTCGTTGTTCAGAGAGCTGACTCTCTAGTTCCTTGAGCTGGTTAACATCGGTGACAAAACTGTAGTTGATTCTATCAAGCAATCCAGAAACGTTCTGAAATTTATGTTGCAGTTTTCGAATATCACCTGTTTTAGAACCTGCAAACTTGTAATGAAGTACTGCTGCTGCAGCTTGAGCTCTGCTGGTGAACTCGGTTCTACCAGTTTCAACGAGTTTACAAAGTGCGTATGCCTTCCAGTAGTACCCACGATAAAGCTCAGTGTCTACGTAAATAGAAGCATTGAAGTCGTCTAAAGCTGTCTCAATGTCTTTCAATTGCATATTCGCAATACCACGGTTACAAAAAATTGTTCCAAGAGGACGAGCGCCAGGTTGATTTACTGCAATTGGTAGGTTAATAATCTCAGTGTACAGATCAGACGAGGCTTGATAATCGCCCCTGGAGAAAGCTTCTCTCGCCTTTGGTTCTATCATTTCGATCCCTTCTAACAATTCGTCAGTTTGAGTGGTGCCTGTCTTGACATCTGTTCGACTAATGGCATTTTCAATCGTTTCTTCTGACGGAACTATTAACTTTGCTACAACAACGTTAGGGTCATCGATGGGAATTAGAACTCTTGTTACTTTCATTAGTTCGTCGCCTTTGTAAAAACAAATGGACTTTTTCACTGCGCACAAAATGTCGAACACATATTGCTGTAAGCGGTATCCTTCACTGTTTATTCCCAAAGAATAGCAATAGAAGGCTGTTTCGCAAAATATCCTGGCAGTCTCCTCACAGAATAGGTAATCAGGCTTCAAGCATGAGTTTTTCAAGAGATGAAAAAGGAGGTGAAAAGCATTCACAGAGAGCACTTTCCACCGTCGACTCTCCAGTTTGGCCTCGCCGAAACTTTCGAAACGCTGACGGACCTTGTCTTTGCGACTCACTGTATCATGTTTCAGATAATCCTGCCTCAATTGCCATTCGTAAAGGAAGTCTGTTCCTCCAACACAGTCGACAAATGCATGGTGCAACATTCTTATGGCAGAACAAAAAGCTTTTTCAGTTTCGCCTTCTTTACTATAACGCTCTTTCAATGTCTCTTGAACAAGTCGATGGATGCTCAAGCTATCATCTGACTTGCGTTTGAAGAGTGAAAACCTAAGCAACAAATCGACAATTTGTTCTGCACCGATTGGCATTTTCAAGCGATCCTTCAGGTACTTATGGTCAATCTCTGGGGCGCCCACGTTCAAAATCTCGATGGGTATCTCATCTGGGGACAGATATGTGGCAATTTTCATGAAGAAAGAAGCGGCCTTTCCAAGTCCTTCATCGTTTTCGTCATTTTCTATATAACTGAAATTCAGACGCCATGTAGTTTGTACTGCCAGGCGTGCCTCACTGTAGACCTCTGAGCATGGTTTGGCGATTTCCCTATTCAAAAGAATCGACTTTTGTTCACGATACTGCTCAAGGTACGACTGAGCCGAGCACTTTAACTCACTGATGTAAGCAGCAGCTTGTTCTAAGGCCAACGGTAATCCACCAAGCTCCTGGGCAAGTTCTTTTACTCCTTCCTCTTGATTTTGAAAAGCGTATGCTAATTCGGTGCGTTTCTTTAGGAATTCAAAAGATTCGTCGACAGAAAAAGCATCCAGCTCAAGACAGTTTTCAGGACGAAGATCTAGGTCCTTACACAACGTTTGAGGACTTCTACGAGAAGTCACAAGAATGTCCCCTAAAGTTTTATTTTTCCACTGGCCCAAAAACATTTTTCGTGTGTAGGAGCTAAGTTTCTTTTGATCCATGTTATCTACAAGCAAAAGCCACTTGTGCCTTAGACTACCAAGCCACGAGAGAGTTTCCGTCATTAGCTGATCAAACTGTTTTGCTTCTTCGTGCCTGTTGGGCTGAGACTTGTACACGAATTGTCCATGGATTCCTTGAACAGATGATCGCAACAGTTCGTCACTTTCTCCATTTACAACGTAAACGCCTCCGGAGTAACGTTCCAGGTTGCGCCAAGCATATTCGAAGGCAAGAGATGACTTCCCGCAGCCCCCAAGCCCGCAAATACCATGAACTTTAGTCCTCTTTTTACACCCTTTTAGAACATCTTCTGTGGTGGTGACGTCTTGAAAAGCATTGTCCAATGATTCTAGCTCCTTTTTTCGGCCTGTAAAATATCCATTTCTCTCTAGCGCACCAAAGAACGATGGAGGGTTGACACTCTGTTGACGTTTCATAGCACTGCAACTTAAATCTGCCATTTGTTGCTTCAAGGTTTTCATCTCATGCTCCATTTGTTGAAATTTCTGGGGAAGTTCCAGTAGCTCTTCGAGATTTTGCTTTACTTCAAAGACCTGCGATTTTAGTGAATCGTACTGTTCCTTAAACTGGCAAACAAAATCTTCCAAACTGAAGGAAAGCTGCAACACTCCATTGTGTACCAAGCTCAACAGGGTAGGGTCTACAGGGCAGTTACCACAGAACGCAGTGCCTGTCAACAGAACAACTCAAAGACCTCAATGACGTTATCATAAATATAGACGTTCATGACAAATGTGAAGTTTCTGCAGAAGGGAAAACGACTTTGATTAACTGTGTGCTCCACTCACCAGGTGAGTGTTCGCACGAAAACATGATGTCCTCCTACGTCAAAAGATAAACGATTCTTTGATTGCATAACAAATCGCACCTTTCTTAGAAAAAAAATAATTATGTCAAATTGTTTGGTGTTTCATTAGTGTTCACATAAAAGAACATTTCGTGGCCGCTTGGAGATACGAATTTTCTCTTCTCGTGTTAAGAGAAATTTCGTATCTCTGTGCGGCCATGTATAAATCTGATTCACTAAATGTTTTTCCCGAGGTGTCTTAATTTTGCTCACCCGCAATCTCTTGATTCTTGATAATGGTATTTGCAACTTATGGACTAGTCTGCCCGCTCTGGGCTATTAAAATATCAAAAGCACCTTCGCCTAGACTTCTATTTGATACAGTAGGAATGTGATGCAGAAAGAAAAGGTAGCATAGAGCACTTCCTAAAAATCGCGACGGCAAATTGTCGGCTGGCGACTACATTGTGTATATTTATACACGCATTGAAAAAGAATACCTGATTTAACGTAACTTAAAAACTTGCAATAAAAAAAATACGAAATAGCATCCTTGAAAACCCAAGTAGCGTTCAGGTTCAGGGCGTGACTTTAAAGTCACTTAAAATCACGATTCATTAAACTCAGACATATCAGGGGCACCCAACGTCAATTTTCGGAAAATATCTGTTAGGAAGACGATTTGAGATCTAGAATTTTCGGAACATTTGTTGTACAATTTCTTGCTTGCCTGCCTCTCCTAGGATTTTCCAACATATAAACAATGGTATAATTGCCCATTTTTAACGGATTTTTACCCCAAAAAGATCAACTAGAATTTTCGGGAGCCTTTTTTCTGGCTGAAATTCTCGAAAAGGTAAGTTTTGATCCCTATAATTTTCGGATCACTAGACTTTCAGCTAGGAAATCCGAACAGATGAAAAATTTTTAGCTCATAAAAATATGCCTATTTACCGTTTAAATACGAAAGTACGTTCATCAATGATATGTTTAAGTGGTTTTGAACTATATTCGCATTGGGTGCACGTGACATATGCGTTGACTAGTTGGCCGTAGATTTACTACTTATGACTACTTCTCCAGATCATGAGTTTACAGTACTGTAATATCGAAATTCTTCGTTTGTGTTTTTTTACGGCCCACTATAGATGTCTACAAAACAGTTTCTCCTTAGATCTTAACAGAACTCAACAGTTCTGCTAAAGCCTATGTGTAACGGCCTTTTTTCAATCTCAGTACGGTGACTCCTGGTCATCTCGAAAACACGTCGTTTCGCCAACGTCCCGTTCGGTAACGTCTTAAATCGTTTTGCTTACCAAAAGAAACAAGCACTACACATGAATGCATCCTTCAATTATGACACCACGTCCGATGCGCATGTGTATACACCTCGTTCTCGCGAAAGGAGTAAGGTAACTGACCTAAAACGTTAACGAAACGACTTAAGACGTTAGCAAGAAGGGCGTGGGCGAAGCGACCGGTAATCCCCAGGATAATTATATAATTCTTTCAGATGACAAAATGTCTTTTTCAACAGGTTCCTCGATGCATAACGCAAGGACGCACTCAGAATTGCTAGCACAGGACGTACTCGTTGGGGCTTTTTTTGAGGGGGAATCACATTGATATGGGGGGGGGGGGGACACTGATCTTATCGCATGAAAACAATGTGGGGAATAAGGTCGGGTATTTTTGTTAGGTGAATTAACCAGTTTGAATTGGTTTGTTAGTGCCTTCTCTACTATGCACAATTAGCGCACCAAGAGTGGCAAGAAAAACAAGAATAAGTGGACCAGAACTTGGACAATCGTCTGATGATGAATATACGACAATGACAGCAGCATGAGATAAAACTTGCATAATTCCTTTGCAATCAACTGTTTATAATCACAGAAATACTTCAATAAAATTGATTTTTAGTCTATTAATGAAAACACATCATAAAAAAGAATAAAAATCTATGACATTTTCATACCCTAATAATGACCTTACGCACACAACTTTAAATAAACTATGACATCATCCATCTAATACCTGTTAAACCGGAAAATCACCTACAAATGGCGCGCAACGCAGGGGCGGATCCAGGCCTTCAGATAAGCGGGGAGGGGGCCTGGCCTCAGGGCACTGCAAAGTATGATATCATCAGCACTTATGTCCTCCCCCCCTAAAAAATTGATGAGATTCCTCCTCCAAAAACGGCTAACCAGTACGCTCTACAGTACTAGGATAAACACAAATTAAGGTAACATAATTTGAAAAAAATACCTTTCGTTTCCCAGTCATTTAGCTCGGATAATAGTGTGGTTTCATCTGCTGTAGGAAGACCGAAAGAATGGACAAGCTCTCGCATTTCCTGAAAACAACCTTGGAACTTGACTGCGTCCCAGTCTGTAAAGTTACAGTGAGCCCATTCATTTCTTACATCCTCTCTTACAGTCTTAGCTGAGGACTGTGTTGCATTCGAAAAAACAGGTACTTCAACAAGCAGTGAAAGAACAGCAGACCCATCACACTTTCCATCAAATGCACTGAACTTGGCCATGAATGGTTGAAGGTAGAGCTTGGCAAAGTCAACATGACTTGATACCTTATAGTCAAATTTCGAAAAGTCAAACTTCAAAGGAGAGAGTTTGTGACTGATGTTACTATTGATGTTTTCATATTTTAGACGTTTGGGATGATTCTTGAGAATCCCAGGTGGAGTTTGGACGTGAATGTTATGGCTGGACTTCAAGCTCTGGTACTCTGCCTGTAAAGACTGTTCTACAAATGGTCGAATATGAGGCACCAGCTTGTTGAAAGCAATCCCAACAACTACCCATCGCTTCTGATCTTCTGATATATTCATGGCATCTCCTAAAGAATATCTATTGAAAACAAATGTTTTACATTTTAAGGTCAATGTAAATTCCTTATCTGACAATTTTTTGTATTGATCTCCACTTGATCATCACCCCCTTTGTGTAGCCTGCTACTAGTTTTAAGAATACAGGTAAATCTACATTATAAACTACACGGGCCATCTTTCAACAACAGATTTTACTCCGTGCTTTTATTACATGAAGATGTGCTTTTCAGTTTAAGATACTAGGCTAGCACATATTAACAACAAGTCCGCACATTCCAGATGTCATCAGAACATCAAACTAGATCAAAAGTAGTTTAAGTGTCCGGCAGCCCTGTTCTTATTCTGAACTATGAAATGTGACCTTTACTCCAGACCCACTTTCCTAAATTGCAAAGAGGAGTGCCGCTTATTCTGCACATCCCAAATCATAAATTGTTTCGAGTAAAAAATGTATAGATTACACAAATGAACAACACACAACAACAACAACAACAACAACACACTTTATACATACTATGAACTTGAAATCCCTTGTCTTTTTTCAATTGTGTGTTTTGGATATCTTTTAGGTATACAGTCATGCCAGGTCAAGTGTACCCCCCTAGATGCCATTAATGAATCAATTATTTGAAAAATGAATCCACTAGTTCTTGCCGCAACCAGTATCAAATTTAAATCTACATTACTGCATGGGTAATGAGCAGCATATATAACAACTCTCCCAGATTCTATGATTTTGCTTGGACAGCTTCTGAGGCATTTTAGCATGAATTTCATCACTGAAAATGATCATTTCTGCATTACAGTATATGACAAAAGCGAATTTTTGAGTGTGTTCTTCATGTAAGACTTCATATGATGTCCTACATAACCAGGTCCAGAAAGTATCCATACCATACCATGGACAGCTTTTCAGAATTCTGAAGGCATCTTACAACTGGAAATCAAAAGAGATGGGGGGATACTTCATGATTGGAATTTTCAAGAGATGTGGGGGGTGTTACACTGTAGATCTGGAACTTCCCAGGGCAGGGATCAGTCAAGAGCGTATTTAATTCCTTGAAAACGTTTATTTTATGGGCTTAATCAGGTCGCAAATAAAGCAAAAACTGACAACACTGCTGACAACCGTGGAAGCAGAACAAAACATCGCAGCCTCATCAATTTTTTACTCTCATCAAAGCAGCCTCATAAATTATTTTGTTCATTCCTTTTTTCCGTGTGAAACATGGTCTTTTGACTGAGCATCATTAAAATATTGAAGCTTATGGTATTGGGAGCAACTGCTGACCACGCAGCCTAAAATTTAAGATAATGAAATGAAAATGCACTTGATCATAATGTCTTCCGAGTGAACACACTTTCATCACAAGCGATTCTTATTTTAATGTTCGGTGAAAGTTTGGGCAATGTAAAGTTAATGAAGGTTGCATCTCCTCAACAGTGGTAAGAGAAAACTTCTATTTAAATTTTTCATATTTCCGGAATTTCTGGAGTCATAGACTCTCTCTGCAACAAGCTGTACTGAAGTACAGGAGTAGAGTCAGATTTGAATTATTTGGCATGAAATAAGTTAAATTGGACAAATTTGCAAACCCCTGGCTGTAATTCTAAAAGGTGTGAAGAAAAAAATGGAAAATCTGAATGGAAGGGGGTGTTAATGGTTATGGAATTCCGAGGACATACTTACATACATAAAATTAAATACTTTGCCTTTGAATTCACTGGTCATTATGCATACAGGAATTACTACCAATGGATTAACTTCTGAGAAATAAATTCATTAATAGAATCTTGGAAGTAGGCTTGACCTGGCTTGACTTCTATCCATATTCTGCTAAATAACCTTGCAAACTCAAAGACTGTTGTGTGAATAAGCTAAATTCAAATTTACTTCTCAAAGAACTAATTAGATTAGGGTAAACTGTTGGCCTAGGTCTCTGCAAGAGTTATTCTAAACACCACAACAGAGTAAGACTCTTGTTTTGGGAACAGGCAGTTTATTCTATTATCATTAATTCCTACTTACATAATCCACTAGATATCTAATCAAGAGTTCATGTTTGATACACTAAAAACTATGGCCCAAGCCCAGAGGTAGAAGTAGTGGAAGGATTAGTGTTGTGAAAGTGGTGTGGAGTATGTGAAAGGATAGCTTTACTTAGCATGTTAGCCAGAATGAAGTATGGTGTCAGAGCACCAGTTGCCAAGGGCTTTAATCAATTCAATGGGTACGCCAGCTTGGTATGCAAGGGATGCTCCAGCCCTGTGAAAAGAGTGCCCTACAAACAACTTGGGGTCGAAACCAAGGGACGTAAGATGAATTCGCAGGGTGGACACAAAGGAGCCATAGGTAAAAATTTTTACAAGGTGCTTTTGGTCTACCCAGTTGAACGCTTGAGAGTCTAAAGCAGACACTGCGCTGGTAGAGCAAAAGGCATTTGTGATGGCTGCTGTGGGACATAGTTTGGAACGGGGAATGCAAGGGAGTGGAATTTCTACAATCCGTTTAAGAAATTTTATGGTCTATCTCCAACAAATAGTGATGAGTACCCCCCAGGGAAGATTTTAAAATCAGCCTTAGCCAATTGCTTGCGCGGATTGAATGAGAAAGTTGACAAGGGTAACAAATGGGATTTACGGAACATCCCATAGAAGGCAACTAAACAAATAGCCCAGAACGAAGCATCTGCACTGTTACCCAGGTCAAGTCGATCATGAAGTTGTCAAAGCATGGCTGGCGTAATTGGCTGTTTTTGATTTTTTGTTAACCCCTTAGATCGATTAATGCCAGTCAAATGGGACTTAAGAGGCCAGTTATTGAGCAGTGGGTTAGGTAGGCCAAGTTCTTTGTGCAAGACACCAATGATATTCAAGCTTAATCTTGCTTGCTTGCTTGCTTGGTTTCTAAGAGTGCAATTGGTCTAATAATATCAAAAATTAAGCAATAGACTACAGGCTGGAGTGGTGTATTATAACTGGTTATCAGTATGGTCGTAAGACTCTCATACAACATATTGCCCAATTCTGAAATAGGACAATTCCCATACAACTGCCTGCCCGCAACCCAGACCTCTCCGTTATTAGAGTCTAGATTCATATCAATGACATTAATATTCACGATATTTCATTTAAGACAGATAATAAATGAGTGGCTAAAAAATTATTAGCCTTAGCAAAATTAATAATTCATGATGTCTGAAGATGTTAAGAATGAATATTGCTATGGATTGAGCAAAATTGGAAATGGTCAAACAAAACCTTTCCTTGTACTTTGTGTGTAGTTAGTACTTCAGATGAAAGTATTCACTGTGGCATTTGTTTGACTTCTTAGAAAAACCTGCACTGGGCATCAGGTGGGCCGGGAGTTTGGACCAAAAATTGCATTTTTTGGGACAATTTTCTCCTTGAAAATTGGAACTATGTTAGGTAAATAATTCAGAAAGTAGAACAGTTAAAAGATCTGTTTACATGATAGAAAAATACCATCCTTCCTCTCAATAAACATGTCGTCAATTTTTCTCTACGCCCCTCCCCCTGACGGCCCCTGTTCATTGTCATTTACAAGGGGGGAAACGTTTTTTGACAAGGCTAAAGAATAGACATTTTTGAACACATTTTTTTCTTACTAGCACTCTGATTTAAATCAAAATTGAAACAAGATGTAAATACTTCACCCTTCGTGAACCATTTCATGCTTAAAAATCCGTGGGCACTCAATACATTTTTGCATGCCAATCAAATGAAAATGTATATCTGAGACAAAATAGTAAATTTTTGCAACTTTTGTTCCCTGCTATCTTTCTTTTAAATAATGTCATTGGGGCAATGTTAAGCAAGAACGTTGAATGGTTCCCATAGATTCCATTCCTTTACGTTTTACAGTCAGTCAGATCGAGCAGATTAACGATTTTTTGGTTTACAAAAGCAGGAATTGTGCGGTTGGCGGTTAATTTATGCAAATTACTACCTGCAATATAACTTGGTAGGAAAATCTAATTCGCCATTTTCCAACAAAATAAATCACTTCAATGGAATCATTAATAGATAACTGACACATGACATACCATTAACAAAGCGATCAATGTGAGAAACATTGCATTCAAATCCCTTCCCTCATCTTCAGTGCATATCTACAAAGTTTCCTTTCACACTGACACCCTGCCAAATTACTGCAGCTGCTTGTGATATTTTCCTTACCGGGTATGAAAATGGTACTCTGTTGGATTCTCTTACATGTCCAACACACTGTCTTCAAGGTAATGTATCTTAGTCACGCAATGTACCACATCACAAGTGCTGCACTGATTTTATAATTCTTCTTTCCTCTATATAAATATTAGAATCTTCATGAATTCAAGTAAGTTTTATTAAGCATAAAATCAGAAAAACATTGTACCCAATTCTATGTAAATTTAGAAAGAAAGTGCCATTTGATCTGTTCGGTTGGACAGCTTGCTCAATTAAAAGTTTCAAAGCTGACTTGTCTTCCTGAATTTGTATGAAGGCCTTCTCCCACAGAGAACAAGTCAACAAGGCGAAACTGTAAAACCACTGGAGTTAACGAAACTGAAGTGTGAGTCACATTTTTGGTGGCAGTTTCGTATTTCGTGTCATGCAAGGTGGGAGACTATTGCACATATTTACGTTGTGTTGTTCTAACTTTGTGGGATTACTTGACACAGGGGACCAGTCACACAACACGGTTTACACTCTTCATCATTTCATGCTTGGTATCTACTGTATGACTGTGAGCCAGTCCTGTAACGGGAAGCGGGTTTTGCCAAATCCCTGGCAGAAGAGATTGCGGCACATAAACAATTGTGCAAAAGGAAACTGGGCACTATTATGCTTCGCGTGCAAAGGAGATAATTCTTATGAAGACTGCACCAAAGTCATTCCTCAAGTAACCTTCAAGCTTAATTCTTAATGTCAATTTAGGGAGCATGAAACAATTCTGAAAGGCTAACGATTTGTTTAGTTCGGCTCATTTCAATTCTGCTTAGTTATAAAGTGTAATGAATTAAATTACATGGGATGTTCATGGGAAAGCTAAATTATATAAATTATATTTTTTGAAAAAAAAAAAACAAAAAGGAAAAACCCAGCTGACATTATGCTCAATAAAGCTTGAGTGAATTCTTTTTGTCTTTTACCTTGCATGAAATTGAAGTGCCGTCAAAAATTTTGACTCGGAGTTCAGTTTTGTCATCTCCTTCAGGACCTTCAGCTGGGATACTTGCAAATCTCAAGTAGGCTGATTAGCGGTGGAAATTTTATTAACAATAATTTCACCTTGCTCTGTATAGGAGCAAGGCGTCCTTACAAATTCAGTAAAGATTGAAGTCCCGGGGATTCTCAACAAATTTTATACTGGGAGGCTCCACCCCGAGGTCCAACCCCTTAGCCTTTTATTATTTTTGACAGAA